TATTTAAAGATTATGAGCCAGGCCATCTGGTAGAATGCTGAAGGGGTGATAGCTACTCTACAATACCTATCACTTTACCTTCCCTTACTCTCTATATTAACTCTATTTTTTTCTTCTTTCTCTTTATAATGTAAGCCCCTCCTAAAAAAATACTTTTCTAGGTCAATTTATTTTTGCTATTGTTTTATCTTTATATATCTGTCTGTCTGGGATATCTTAATTCCATTTCATAAAATTTAGTTGGTCTGATGAGGTGAATATGGTTATATTTATTAAAATAAATTTATTACTGACTATGGGTTTTTAAGGTTTTTTTTCTAATTATTCTTATAATTTGCTCTGTATCAGAAATTGATCTCTCATATGGACTGAAAAGTTCCCTTTGGAACAATCTCTAACAATTACATTTTGTTATTATATATATATTCATATGGACTGAAAAGTTTCCTTTGGAACAATCTCTACCAATTTTAGTATTATTTATATATATATATATTTGTAATTTTGATTTTATCCTCGCCACCAAGATGTTGTAACCTAGGGAATGTTACTGAATAGAATAATCACACGAAGGTTGGTAATGAACAATAATACTTAGGACAAGAACAACACATATAAGATTTACCAGCAGTGCAGAGAAGAAGTAGTCAACTGCTAGAAGTGAGTCAAATGAATTCCACAATGAATCTCAACTGCAGACCAACATACAGTATTTACTACCGTATTTTATGTGAATGGGGTATACCCATTGTCTGTAGGTATGCTATATATATATATATATATATATATATATATATATATATATATATATACATTGAAGATTTTTTACACCTTCATACAAACATCAAATTCATTATGCCCAGTTATTGCTTTTCTGTTTGTCAGAAATATCTTTTGTAGTAACAGTTAATGTTTGTAATCATTCTGTGTAGGACTATAATTTCTGTTTTATCTTTAATGTCTGGACATGAAAATACTTGTATGCACTGAAAAATTCATTTCACTTAATAAATTTCCCTTCAAATATATTTTCAAATTTTCATGGAACAAATGGAATCTATTTTATTTTTTTATGCTACTAATTGCTATTGTGCAGTTCCTATACATGACTGGTGTGATTGAAAATGACAATAGAATGAGCAACACAAAGAGAATTCAATAATTTGAACAACATTTATAATGACTCTTCTCTAAATTATAGATGTAGTCTTCTATACAGTTGAACACCTATAGATTGTTGGAGAATGGATTCACTGAAATGTAGTGGTCAGAACAAAAGCAACACAAAGAATGAGTTCAGTAGTCTGAATAACTCTTGGAATGATAATGTCAGTCAGTCATTTATGTGCCATGCGTAATACATGCTTAGGTGATCTTATGTATCTTTCAATAAATGACTGACGAGGCAGTTTTTTTTTTCCCACAGTAGATTGCCATTTCTTTCTGCAGTTGCCATCCAAAGCTATAGAACACAGTCTGACCTGCTATATACTTATAGCTGGAAAGAAAAGAAGAGGATTCATACCTTTTCCAAGGGTATTAGCACATAAGTGAATGTAATGGATTTGACTGGAATTTGAACTCGGCTCTCCAATTCCTCAATCCGAGCTGTTATCCATTACTCCACTGTGCCTCCATTAGAATAATAATGACTTCTCAAAATTATAAAAGTTGTCTTTCGTATAGTTGTACACCTGAAGATGGTTGGAGAATTGATTGACTGAATTGTCGTGGTAACATGAATATTGCAAAGAATGATTACAATTGTCTGAATAACTGATGGAGTGATAATATCCCTGAAAATTGCTGACAGTGGTTAAAAATGTTTGACCAGGGTCAGATGTGTCTCTCATATTTGTTATCTGACTTGAGGTCTTTTTGAATGTGTAGCCATGTTTTCATATTCGTTATCTGAGGTCTTTTTGAATGAGGTCTTTCTCATATTCGTTATCTGTAGGGTCCATAAAGTTTCTCATATTCGTTATCTGACTTGAGGTCTTTTGAATGTGTATAATAAGTTTCTCATATTCGTTATCTGACTGGAGGTCTTTTTTCAGATGTAGCCATAAGTTTCTCATATTCGTTATCTGACTTGGAGGTCTTTTTTGAATGTGTAGCCATGTTTCTCATATTCGTTATCTGACTTGAGGTCTTTTCGAATGTAGCCATAAGTTTTCATATTCGTTATCTGACTTGAGGTCTTTTTGAATGTGTAGCCATAAGTTCCTCATATTCGTTATCTGACTTATATTCTTTTGAATCGTAAAGCCATATTAAGTTTCTTTCATATTGTTATCTGGATATTGGAGGTCTTTTTGAATGTGTAGCCATAAGTTTCTCATATTCGTTATCTGACTTGGAGGTCTTTTTCAGAAATGGCAGCCATAAGTTTCTCATATTCGTTATCTGACTTGAGGTTCTTTCGAATGTAGCCATAAGTTTCTCATATTCGTTATCTGACTTGAGGTCTTTTCGAATGTGTAGCCATAAGTTTCTCATATTCGTTATCTGACTTGAGGTCTTTTCAAAATGTGTAGCCAAGTTTTCATATTCGTTATCTGACTGAGGTCTTTTTGAATGTGAAGGCATAAGTTTCTCATATTCGTTATTCTGACTTGAGGTCTTTTTGAATGTGTCGCCATAAGTTTCTCATATTCGTTATCTGACTTGAGGTCTTTTCGAATGTGTCACCATAAGTTTCTCATATTCGTTATCTGACTTGAGGTCTTTTCGAATGTGTAGCCATAAGTTTTTCATATTCGTTATCTGCTTTGGAGGTCTTTTGAATGTGTAGCCATAAGTTTCTCATATTCGTTATCTGACTTGAGGTCTGAGGTGTAGCCATAAGTTTCTCATATTCGTTATCTGACTTGAGGTCTTTTTCGAATTAGCAACCATAGTTTTCTCATATTCGTTATCTGACTTGAGGTCTTTCGAATGTGTAGCCACTTAAGTTTCTCATATTCGTTATCAATTTGAGTCTTTTTGAATGTGTAGCCATTTTTTGTTATCTGACTTGAGGCCATGATAATTTCTAAGTTTCTCATATTCGTTATCTGACTTGAGGTCTTTTGAATGTGTTTTCATAAGTTTCTCGTATTCGTTATCTGACTTGAGGTCTTTTCGAATGTGTCTATGTTTCTCATATTCGTTATCTGCCATAAGTTTCTCATATTCGTTATCTGACTTGGGTCTTTTTGAATGTGTATATAAGTTTCGGTATTCATAGGGTCTTTTTGAATGTGTCACCATGTTTCTCATATTCGTTATCTTGAGGTCTTTTTCAATGTGTAGCCATAAAGTTTCTCATATTCGTTATCTGACTTGAGGTCTTTTCGAATGTGTAGCCATAAGTTTCTCATATTCGTTATCTGACTTGAGGTCTTTTCGAATGTGTAGCCATAAGTTTCTCATATTCGTTATCTGACTTGAGGTCTTTTTTCTACAGCCATACTTGGAGGTTCCTCAGTTTCTTGGTATTCGTTATCTGACTTGAGGTCTTTTTGAATGTGTAGCCATAAGTTTCTCATATTCGTTATCTGACTCCACTTGAAGGTCTTTTTTCAGATGTGTAGCCATAAGTATTTCATATTCGTTATTGACGAGGTTTCTTTTTTATGACCGGAGGTTATTCAATTTATCTGACTTGGTCTTTTTGGATTGTAGGTCTTTTTTCAGAATTTGAGGTCTTTTGAATGTAGCCATAAGTTTTCTCATATTCGTTATCTGACTTGAGGTCTTTTTGGAATGTGCCATAAGTTTCTCATATTCGTTATCTGACTTTCTCATATTCTAATTAAATTTATCATATTCGTTATCTTGAGGTCTTTTCGAATGTGTAGCCATAAGTTTCTCATATTCGTTATCTGACTGTAAGTATTCGTTATTGAGGTCTTTTCAGATGTGCCTGATAAGTTTCTCATATTCGTTATCTGACTTGAGGTCTTTTTTGAATGTGTATCTGACCATAAGTTTCTCATATTCGTTATCTGACTTGAGGTCTTGAGGTTTTTGTAGCCACAAGTTTCTCATATTCGTTATCTGACTTGAGTTTCTTTTTCAGATGTGTAGCCATAAGTTTCTCATAATTCGTTATCTGGACTTGAGGTCTTTTTTTTGAATGTGTAGCCATAAGTTTCTCATATTCGTTATCAAGTTTTTTGAATGTGTAGCCAGGTTTTTATCGAATGTGTAGGTCTTTTGAATGTAAGTTTCTCATATTCGTTATCTGACTTGAGGTCTTTTTGAGTTCTCATATTGTTATCTGACTTGAGTCTTTTGAATGTGCCATTCAAGTTTCTCATATTCGTTATCTGACTTGAGGTCTTTTGAATGTTCAAGTTTCTCATATTCGTTATCTGACTTGAGGTCTTTTCGAATGTGTAGCCATAAGTTTCTCATATTCGTTATCTGACTTGAGGTCTTTTTGAATGTGTAGCCATAAGTTTCTCATATTCGTTATCTGACTTGAGGTCTTTTTGAATGTGTAGCCATAAGTTTCTCATATTCGTTATCTGACTTGAGGTCTTTTCGAATGTGTAGCCATAAGTTTCTCATATTCGTTATCTGACTTGAGGTCTTTTTGAATGTGTAGCCATAAGTTTCATATTTCGTTATCTGACTTGAGGTCTTTTCAGATGTGTAGCCATAAGTTTCTCATATTCGTTATCTGACTTGAGGT